TCTGGGCTGTGTTCAGTGATGAACTGACTCTGCCCACAGGTTCCTGCTCTGCCTGTCCTCCCACTGGTCAGCATCTTCGTGAATGTTTACCTGATGATGCAGACGACCTCTGGGACCTGGGCCCTGTTTGGCATCTGGAATGCCATTGGTAAGTTGCTTTCTGGGATAAAGAGGTTTCTTGAATGACTGAACCCAACATCTTCCTACTATTTCTCCCCACACTCTATCAGACGCCATAGGAGGTCTACTGGGCAGTTGTAAGTGAGTGTATAACCTACATTTCCTTCTTATCGTCTCATCTCCCTACTAGGATTTCTCATATACTTTGGATACGGGATTCGACACAGCCTGGCAGGGAGCAATCATCAACAGCCACCGGCCACCAGCCTCCACCTCCCAGACTCTTGAAAAAAGCATCCCCGGTGCTGAGTCATCTTAACCACAGGAAGTAGATGCTGCATGGAATCCCTCCTTGCCCTGGAGGATCTGCTGGTTCAAGGGACACCTGAGCCTCTGTGGAGTGTGAAGGTGGTGACATCTAAAGCCCTGTGTTTATTGCTAGTGGACAAAGTGACTGGACCATTGTGCAATTTTCAGTAAACTTTTAAAAGCGTACTATACATACTTCTAAGTGCATGCTTCATAAGTGTGCAGCAAGATGAATTTTCACAAACAAAGTACCACAATGTAACCAGCAAGTAGAGGAAGAAATAAATTATTAATGGGCATATTAGAAGCACCTTTTTTACTTATTTCTAACAAGAACACAGAGACTGCCCCACTGGAAGGAAACTCAGGTGAGGATGTATTATGTGAAGAGTTATACTCCAGGGAATTCCCTGGCAGTCCAGTGGCTAAGACTCCATGCTCCCAGTGCAGGGGGCATGGATTCTATCCCTGGTTGGGAAACAAAGACCCTGCATGCCCTATGGTGTAGCCAAAAAAAAAAAAAAAAATGGTTTAAGAATGACTGACTTTCCTCCCCTAGCTTCCCCTTAGTAAACATGCAGGTGGACCACACGGGCAAGAGAATCTCCAGTTGCAGATGGGTCACTCGAGCAAGACAGTGTACTGGGGAAAATAGGAAGTCAGCAGCCTGTGGCAACGGAGAAATGACAGTGAATCTAACTTCATGTCTTAACAATTAACTGAGATTATTTCCCTTTAAAGACGGTCATGGCTGAGCAGAACTGTCATGGATGCAAGTCCACGCTTTCCCCAGATCACTGGCTTTTCTGAATAAAGCATCTTTCTTGTCTATGCAAGCTTGCCCCTTGATTTATTGTCTGTTGAACAGCAGGTGGCTGAACCTGCCTTCTGTTACAAATCTAACTCCGGGTCCAGAATAGCCAATGGGTCCATATGGGTCACCATGTCTCTGAGTTAATATGCTCAGGGTGAATCTTCTATCCTCAAGTGCAAAGAGTGAAAATGGTAATTTATAGTTAGGATCGCCTGATGCTGGAGCCTGGGCTATTACAGATTTTAAAGCTTTTATACCTTTACTACTTACATCATTTGTTCAGTGGGGTCTGGTTGGGTAGACTTTATTAAGGCACAGAGAGATTGGACAATGTGGGGAAAACTAGATACCCAATTTCTGTAAAATCTTGTTGTTGTTCAGTCACCAAGTCATGTCCTACTCTCTGTGACACCATGGACTGCAGCATGCCGGGCTTCCAAGTCCTACACTATCTGCCGGAGTTTGCTCAAACTGATGTTCACTTAGTCGGAAACCCCCTGAGATATTTCTTTATTCTGGGAATTGAGAAATCCAGGATTCCCTTAATTCTTGCAGAATCAATCAGTAAGCCTGTCTTAGTGATTTGTGTGTTTGCTCAGTCGAGTCTCATCATTTGCGACCCTATGGGCTATAGCCCACCAGGCTCCCCTGTCCATGGGATCCTCCAGGCAAGAATACTGGAGTGAGTTGCCATATCCTCCAGGGGATCTTCCCAACCCAGGGATCAAACTGGTGTCTTCTGCTTGGCAGGCGGATTCTTTACCACTGAGCCACCTGGGAAGCCCATGAGAAGGGAGTTACTTATCCTTATCCTCAAAATAGATGTTCTTTACCCGAGGGGTTAAAGTAGATGAGCTGTGAGGGTTGGACAATGCAGCCTTGGTTCACACACAGTTCAGGCTGAACCATGTATAAGCCAAATTGACCTCCCCTCAATATGTGAACATTTTCTCCATCACCAACATATAAAAATCTTGGAACCCCATGATCTAGCAATTCTACCTCTGAAGATACACCCAGAAGAATTGAAAGCACACTCTGGAAGTGTACACCCATATTCACAGCAGCGTTATTCGCAATAACAGTAGCATGAGAGCAATCCACGTGCCCAATGACTGAGAAATAGATGAACCCATGTGGCAAGCACAAGTAATAGAGTATTATTTACCATTAAAAAGGAAGTGAATTCTAACACATACTACAACGTGAAGAAACCTTGTGGACATTCTTTTAAGTGACATAAACCTGACAGAAAGGACAAATATTCTGTGATTCCCCTTAAATGGAGTATCTGGAGTGGTCACATTCATCAAGACAGAGAGGAAAAGGGTAATTTCCAGGAATCAGTGGAGGAGAAATAGCTCAGCTGGAATTCCATCACCTCCACCAGCTTTGTTTGTAATTATGCTTCCTATGGCCCACTTCACTTCACACTCCAGGATGTCTGGCTCTAGTTGAGTGATCACACCATCGTGGTTGTCTGGGTCATTAAGATCTTTTTGGTATAGTTCCTCTCTATATTCTTGTCACCTCTTCTTAATATCTTCTGCTTCTGTTAGGTTCATACTGTTTCTGTCTTTTATTGTGCCCACCCTTTTTTGCATGAAATGTTCCCTTGGTATCTCTAGTTTTCTTGGAGAGATCTCTAGTCTTTCCCATTCTATTGTTTTCCTCTATTTTTTTCTTGCATTGATCACTTAGGAAGGCTTTCTAATGGTTCCTTGTTATTCTTTGGAACTCTGCATTCAGATGGATATTATCTTTCCTTTTCTCCTTTGCCTTTCTCTTCTTCTCTAAGTTATTTCTAAGGCCTCCTCAGACAACCATTTTGCCTTTTTGCATTTCCTTTTCTTGGGGATAGTTTTGATCACGGCTGTGAAAGTGCTGCACTTAGTATGCCAGCAAATTTGGAAAACTCAGCAGTGACCACAGGACTGGAAAAGATCAGTTTTCATTTCAATACCAAAGAAAGGCATTTCCAAAGAATGTTTAAACTACCGCACAATTGCACTCATCTCCCATGCTAGCAAAGTAACGCTCAAAATTCTCCAAGCTAGGCTTCAACAGTACATGAAACGAGAACTTCCAGATGTTGAAGCTGGGAATCTGGGGGTTGAAGAGATCTTGGGCTTCCCTGGTGGCTCAGAGAGTAAAGAACCTGCCTGCAATGCAGGAGCTGCTGCTGCTGCTAAGTCGCTTCAGTCGTGTCCGACTGTGTGCGACCCCATAGATGGCAGCCCACCAGCCTCCCGGTCCCTGGGATTCTCCAGCCAATAACACTGGAGTGGGTTGCCATTTCCTTCTCCAATGCATGAAAGTGAAAGGGAAGTCGCCCAGTCGTGTCCCACTCATAGTGACCCCATAGACTGTAGCCCACCAGGCTCCTCTGTGTATGGGATTTTCCAGGCAAGTGTAGTGTAGTGGGGTGCCATTGCCTTCTCCAGAAATGCAGGAGACCAGGGTTCAATTCCTGGGTCTTCCTGATCCCCTGGAGAAGAGAATGGCACCCCACTCTAGTATTCTTGCCTGGAAAGTCCCATTCACAGAGGATCCTGTTGGGCTACAGTCCATGAGTTTGAAGTCGGACACAACTGAGAAACTAACCCAAAGAGACCTGGCCTAATGGATCCAGGTGGAGGGGGTCCTGGGGCCCAAGATTTGTCATATTAAGGGAGCAGTCCAGTATACATGTCTGACCACACCTCACCCACGGTCTTTCTTGCTTCTTCTCTCTCCCAGCTTGAGCCCTCTGGGTTCTGGAGGGTTTGTACCTTTTGGCCTTGATGGGATTCTACAAGGGGCAGCTTTATGTTTCTACATGTTTATTGGTTTTGATTCCATTGTCACTACAGGTAACATGGTCACCCTGTGTCCCATCCAGGGTGTGGGCACGGATTGGGCTGACATGAGCATAGGGGTTTCTTTTGGAGGTTCAATAGGAAAGGGGATTTTGTGCTTTCACGCTGGTGTGTTTCCTGACCCAGTATTTCCTCCAATCCTGCAGGGGAAAGAGCCCAAAATCCTCAGCAGTCCATCCCCATCATCATCGTGGTCTCTGTCTTGATCTGCTTTTTGGCGTATTTTGGTGTCTTGGCGGCACTCACCCTCATGGTGCCCTACTACCAGATTCACCCTGACAGCCCCTTTCCACAGGCTTTTCTCTATGTTGGCTGGGGCCCTGCCAGATATGTCATGGGTGTTGGCATCCTCTGTGCTCTTTCGTCCAGGTGAGTGTCATGGCTTTCTCCTCACTGACTGTCAGATGCTCGGGTATCCCAGCCCTGGGGATTGAGAGACAGGAGGAAGGACACTTTACCCCATGTAGACGAGGGAGCGGATGCCCTGGTCTCACCTGCTTCTGCACATTCTCACTCCTCTCTGTTTCCTTTTCCAGCCTCCTGAACATCATGGTCGCCATGTCTGATTGATCTACACAATGGCAGAGGATGGGCTTTTTTTCCGATTTCTTGCCCGGATCAATGTCTGTACACGCAGCCACATCACAGTCATCATGATTTCTGGAAACCTTGCAGGTAGATAAACAAAACCCACTCCCTTTGGATTATCTTCCTTGGCTTGCCTATTTCCAGCTGTTTCTCACTCTATCCTCCCACCTTGTTTGTGCCCTCCATCTAGGGGTCTTGGTGTTACTCTTCCATTTCACTGATCTGATGCATCTCATGTCACTTCGGTCCCTGCTTGCTAACTTGGTGGTCGATTTTTCTGTCCTTGTGCTCAGGTGAGACTCTACTGACCCCTGACTGAGGGTCTTTGACTTGCGGTGATTGATGGGGGCTAATCCTCTCTGCCTTCATGCTGCCTTCCAAATGTCCTGCTCTGCTTTTGTGGGAAAAAAGATGGACTCGGCTGTGTGATGTTGGGTGAGTAGGGGCTGCTGGTCATGTTGCCATCATATCTCTAATTCAGGTATCACTCAGACCAGAATTTAAGCAAGAACCAAAGAACAGAGAAAGAAACTGAGATGGAGCTTGTAGTCAAAGGAAAGTCTTTGGAGTCTGTACTTGAAGGCAGAACCTCAAGGATTCTAAAGAGTCTGTGGTTCCCTCCCAGCACCATCCCCACCCGGAAATCTGGCCAGATTGTCTATGGATGTGCCTTCCTGCTTGGTGAGCAGTGGGACTTCTCTTTGGTGATATTCTGAAATTGCCAGGATGGGTGGGAGTGTATATTTGTCTGTTGAGGGGTCTTGGAGATACGATGTCCATTCCTGATGTGGGCAGCCTGGGGAGGGGTGTGACCCGAGGTCCTGATGTCTTTGTCTTCCGGGTCCAGCCTGTTGTCCTCCTCCTTGACCCCTGCAGTTCCCCTGCTGACCATCCTGAGCCTGATCCTGGCCTGGTGGCCCAGACGTGTGTTCTCTGGAGACCCCGTGCTCTCAACAGTGGCTGTGCTGCTGCTGCTGCTCACCCCTGGGGTCACGGTCATCATCTGGAGGCAGCCCCAGGACCCCACTGCTTTTCACTTCAGGG